AGTTATAAAATTGATCTTTATATTAACTTAAAAACAGCTTCTTGAAATACTGTGGAAACAAAACAATGATCTCGAAATTGTTAGCACTATCAACTAAAGATATGGTAAACTAAGTCGGTTAGCAATGAGATTTCTAAAACTACAATTCTATATTTGCATTCAAACATTCTGTTCTAACTAAAGCAAGTAAAAGACCACGAACAAAACATGGTTTTCAAACAAAAATTCTGAGGCTCTGACCAAATTGCTTGTTCCAACAAAATTCAGATGCATTATAAGCTGACTGCGCTTTGCACTCAGACATTCTTTTCCAACTGAGGCCGATGAAGACACCCCTAACAAAACATCGTTTTAAAAAAAAACAACTCACTTTCATGTGGATGGATACGTCAATAAGCAGAACACGTGGTTCTTGATAGTTGAAGAACCAAGTGGTCGTTGAACGCTCATTCGAGTAACTGTGAGATGTGTTCTCTATCAGGTAGGATTGTGAGATGTGTTCTCTATCAGGTAGGATTGTGAGATGTGTTCTCTATCAGGTGAGATTGTGAGATGTGTTCTCTATCAGGTGAGATTGTGAGATGTGTTTTCTATCAGGTAAGATTGTGAGATGTGTGTTTTCTATCAGGTGAGATTGTGAGATGTGTTCTCTATCAGGTAGGATTGTGAGATGTGTTCTCTATCAGGTGAGATTGTGAGATGTGTTCTCTATCAGGTGAGATTGTGAGATGTGTTTTCTATCAGGTAAGATTGTGAGATGTGTGTTTTCTATCAGGTGAGATTGTGAGATGTGTTCTCTATCAGGTAGGATTGTGAGATGTGTTCTCTATCAGGTGAGATTGTGAGATGTGTTCTCTATCAGGTGAGATTGTGAGATGTGTTTTCTATCAGGTAAGATTGTGAGATGTGTGTTTTCTATCAGGTGAGATTGTGAGATGTGTTCTCTATCAGGTAGGATTGTGAGATGTGTTCTCTATCAGGTGAGATTGTGAGATGTGTTCTCTATCAGGTGAGATTGTGAGATGTGTTTTC